CATCAGTTTGTGCCTTTTTCCATCTCAGTTGTAATCCCCATGGGCTTCCCATCACCAAATCGCCCGTGTGCCATCACCATAGTATGACGTCATACTATAGTTTTAAGCCTGGGAGTATGATACCTCCATTTTCCTTCTTTTTGGTCAGGATGGTGTTGGCTAATTGGGATCTTGTATGATCCCATATAAACTTCAGTAATGTCTGCCCTATTTCATTGTTTGATAGGGGTTGCATTGGGTCTCTATATTGCTTTGGGAAAGAAGGCCACTTCAACAATGTTAATTCTTCTCATCCATGAGCAGGGAATATTCTCTCATTTATTTGTGTCCTCTTTGTTGACAAAACTCCCTCCTCTATGGATTTTTTACATCATAGTTTTCATTGTATAGGACCTTTGACTCTTGTTAAGTTCACTCTAGGAATTTAATTTTTGATGCTACAGTAAATGGACTTGTTTTCTTGATCACTATCTTATAGCCTGTTGTAGGAATGCAACTGATTTTTGTAAGTTGATTTAGTAACCTGTCATTTAACTGTACTGATTTATTGTTTTAGTAGTCTTTAAGGTTATCTATGCATATTATCATGCCATCTTCAATGGTGATTGCTTTATTTTTTCTTTCCCAATTTGGGCTCTTTTTATATCTCTTTTGCCTCATTGCTCTAGATAGAACTAATACTATGCTGAAGTGGTGGTAGGGGTGAAAGTAGGCATCCTTGTATCAAATCCTAGAGAAAAAGACTTCAGTCTGCAGCATTAATTATGATATTAACTAGGGGGTTGTCATATATGATCTTCATTATGCTGAGTTATGTTTTTTCTATCCTCATTTTTGAGGGTTTATCATAAATGGACATCAAAGCTTATCAAAAATATTCTCAGCTTCTATTCTACACTCATGATTGTAATTTTTTTTTTTTGTTTTGATGTGGTGAATTATGTTTATCAATTTTCAGGTGTTGAACCAATCTTGTGTCCCTGGAATGAATCTAATGTGGTCATGACTTACGAACCATAAAATGCATTGTTGAATTTGGTTTTCTAAGATTTTGTTGAGAATTTTTTCATTTGTATTCATCAGGGAAATTGGCCTGTAATTTTGACTCTTTTGTATAAAATGTCTTGGTCCGCTTTTGGTATCAGGATAAGGTTAGCCTCATCAAATGTGCTTGGAATCATTCCTTCTATCTCAATTTTATGGATCCGTTTGAGAAGGACAGGTATTATTTTGTCTTTGAAGGTTGACAAAACTCACTCCTCTATGGATTTTTTACATCCTGCATCTCTCTTACTTTCCTATTTAAATTTTCAGTCTTTATTTTCTTTTCACTAATTTTAATTCTCACGACATGTTTGTTTTTCTGAGTCTTGTGATCAGTTTTTCACATTTCTTTTATCACTTTGCCTTTTTTACCCTGAATTTTCTTCCATGTCTTTGAATTTCTTTATTTGAATTTTCTGTCTGCTAAGAAGATAAAATATTCCATATCTGTATGGGTGGGTGCTGGAAAGTCATTCTTCCATATGTCCTTCAAGTTGCCATATTGTTATTTTTAATTTTGGTCTTCCCATTTGGTTGTTTTAACCCTTAGAGATTTGACCTGCCTATTCAATCATAGTGGTGGCACTGTGATTTTCATAGGATTTGGGGTGTCTGTTTTTCTTCAGGCTTCTCAATGTAGGAGATGTAATCTTGCAACTCTGAGCAACGGGGTGAGGGAAGGGAAATCAAGCCACTGCACTGTTCATGTTCCTCTCATAGGGCCCCTAATCCCCTGCCAGTACCCCAGCTCCTCTGCACATATTCTCCTAAGTCAAGGATCTATGTCTCTGCACTGTCTGACTCTTCTCGCTGGGGCAGCTGGCTACATGCAGCGCTGGAGTTACACAGCCAGCAGCCCACAGTCCAAGAGTCTCCCCAGCCACATCGCGTTCACTAACGCATGAATCTACTTGCCGTCTCTCCCAATGTAGTCCGACTGCCCTCCAGTGTCCAAGAGATATTCCAGGCTGGCCCTAGCCCTGGGGCTCTTGAGGTGCAGTATTCCACTGATTCACCAGGGTAGGGAGAGTGGAGTAAACCCGGCCCCTTCCAGCGTCCCCACCGCCAGCGTCTGCAGCACCATCCTCAGCTTTACATTTTTCCTTGGCTTCATTACCTGTGCAAAAAGTGCGTGGGAGTGCGAGTACCTGTCCTTATGGACACCTAGGCAGGGAAGGGGGTCTCTCTCTCTCTCTCTATATATATATATAATTGTTCTTAGAACTAAATTTATATATAATATATATGTTATATATATATATATACATATATGTATGTTAAGTTCTTAAACCTAAATTTAAAAAATACCTCAAAGTATTTTAAGTTTGAGGAGTTTGATTAGAGCTTTAAAAAGGCTCTTATGGGCCCTCCCTGGTGGCGCAGTGGGTTAAAGCACAGCACAAAGAAGCTTAAGCCACTTCCACATGTTCGATCCCCGCCTGGCCCAGAGGTGACCACATGGCGCGGCAGCCCTCTCCTGACCTGCCCACTGCCCCCCTCAGCAGTGTGCTTCCTCAATCTGCCTGTTCTGCTCCCCACTCTGTCTCTAGTGAATCCTCTCACCCTCCGCATCTCTGGCCTGTACCCCAGTTCTGTACAAATAAATAAATAAATCTTAAAAAAAATAAAAGGCTCTTATAAAATCCTTCCTTTTTGATAGGATAAAGATATTAAACTTATTATAATAAATCTGACAAATGTGTATGTCCCTTACACTAAAAAACTAGACATTGTAGAAGACTTAATGACTTAGAGAAATGTCATATTCATCAGTGGAACACTCAATACTGCAAGAAACTAGTCACTCCAACACTGATTTATAGATTCAACTCAATTCAAGTGAAAATTCCAACAATATCAGATGTGATGCAAAATAGAGCCTGTGAAACATCTGTATATTCAATCCTTGTTTTTCATTATTACCATTTTTCATTAAATTTTTGTATATTTTGTAATCACCAGGAAATGTTCATATTACAAACTACAGTATAATTGTATATTTTGCATATATATATATACACAAAAAATCCCATAATTTATATTTTATGTGTAAGCAAAAAAGGAATGATTTTATAAGATTATAAATAAAAATAATAAGGTCTCTTCACCATATCAAGATGGAATTTTTGCTCCTCCAGAAACAGTCTCTCCTGCTGAGGGCGCATGGCAGGCCACGTGCTCTTTGGCGTTGGCATCATCACCCTTTTTCATTTATTTCCCACTGGGTGGGTGTGAAGTGGAGTTTTCTTACAACCTTCAATTCCATTTCTCTGATCACCATTGACATAAATCACCCCAACACATTTTACTGGCCTTGTTGTTTGTTTGCCTGTGAGATGTGAGCCAATTTTTTTTTTTTTTCCTGTTTCTTAGTAGCTGATTGTGTCTTTCTTAAAGATTTGCAGGAACTCAGCACATAATCTTTTTGTCTGTGTGCATTGTGAATACATTCTTTAGGTTGTGGTTTGTCATGTAATTTCAGGAAAACACCCTGTGGGGGGCAAGGTATTCTTGCCTTTCTATATTTACTTGTTCATCTTTTTCTACACAATTGAATCTATAAATGTTTTTAAATATTTTCTCTTCGTTTGCTTTTATCTGCTGAGGAAAAGTAGTTCCTACTCTCAATGCACAAAAGAACAAAGCTACAATTGTCCTCTGAATTTTTTCATTGAGTTTTTCTTAGGGCTAAAACTTTCAAGTTTATTAAATTGGTTTCTGTGTTTATATTAAAATTATGAAGAAAACACTATTTTCTACAGAACAACAAGTTCACATGCCAGCATGTATACATTTTATTCCCTCCAGCTTTATTGAGCTAGAATTGACATATAACATAATGAAAGTTTGAGATGTACAACATAATGATGCAATGCATGTATAAGAAGTTTACTTAACACCTTACCTCATAACATTGCTTTTTTAATTTGGTAGTGAGAGCATTAAGATGTGTTCTCATCACAAAATTCAAATATATAATACATTCTTGTTAGTTATAATTACCATGCTATGATGGCTCAGAACTGTCCTGACATCAAGGGAGTTAGAACCCCAGAAATCAATGATATAGAACTCAAAATTCTAATGATGTGAAAATCAAACTCTTGGCAAACTTAGCTAGGTATAGATGTAGGATGAAAGGATTCAAAATAGAAATTCCAGATACCCACAGACACTGAAAAGACTATCTACTTGTGATAAACTTTTAATGCAGTCCATGACAATAAATTTTCCAAATTAAAGGAAATTAAGAATTCTCAATCATATATATAATATGAAAATTATCCAGGAACCATAAATAATGACTCAAAGTGCATAGGTAATACTGGAAATGTTATAAAACATTTATTATTAACACTTTCCATAACAAGATATGTTACAAAAGTTAAATCACAATAATTTATTTATATTTTTGTTTCTTGATGGCATCATTAATGCTTGGATGATATAAAGATATTATTAAGGAAATCACTGGTTTAATAATTTATACCCCTCCTTTGTATAAATATGTGGGTAAAGGGAATTATTTACAATGTATTAGCGCTTCTAATTCTCATTTACAAAGATTGAACTTGATTATGATTTAAAGAAAAAAACCCGGAACATCCATTAGTATAAATATTTCTCCCACTTCCAGATATACAGATATGTAAATATCACATATTTAAGCCTATAATAGTAATAACTTTAAAGTTACTACTTTAAAGTTACTTACTAGTACTGTATTTATGAGTTGCAATTTTGAATACACCTGAACAAAATTACAACTAGATACCACACCGTATAAGACTTATAAGGATATTAAAAATCTATGTGGGTTTTTTAATTCATTTTTTAAAACCTATTGATGTTAAAAATAAAATAAACTTTAATCTTCCAAAACTTTTGAAAGCATCTAGTTCAAGCTATTTCCTAGCAAATCACTGAAAATACTGCTTTGAACCTTTTGTACAGTTTCAATGAAAAGAGGTTTTTCTCAACAATATCTTTTTTACAGCGTTTTTCACCTCCCTATTCCTTAGACTATAAATCAAAGGATTTAACATAGGGATGACGAGCGTGTAGAACACAGCTATAACCTTACTTTTTTCTGGTGAAGAGATGGCCCCCGGCTGGGCGTACATGAAGAACACAGTCCCATAAAACAAACTCACCACAGTGATGTGAGAGCTGCAGGTGGAGAAAGCCTTACTGCGGCCGCTGAGGGACGGGATCTTCAGGACAGTGGAGAGGATGTAAGCATAGGAAACCAGAATGACGGTGGTGGTGCTGATGATGATGAGAGCCGAGAGGATGAACAGCACGATCTCATTCACAAAGGTGTCCACACACGAGATCTTGATCAGGGCTGGCACATCGCAGAAGAAGTGGTCTAATCTGTTCTCTCCACAGAATCGCAGACTGAAGGTGAAACCCGTTTGTATCATAGAGTTGATGCAGCCGCAGACATAGGAGCCAAGGACCAGATGCGTGCAGGCCGGCTGAGACATGCGCGCAGCGTAGAGGAAAGGCGAGCAAATGGCGGAGAAGCGGTCATACGCCATCACGGCCAGGAGGAAGCCTTCGGTCCCCACAAAGAGAGCAAAGAAAAAGAACTGTGTTGCACAACCATTGTAAGAAATTTTCTTTTCCTTCGACAAGAAAGTAGCCAGGGTCTTGGGAGCAATGACTGTAGAGTAACAGATGTCTAAGAAAGACAAATTTCTGAGAAAGAAATACATAGGTGTGTGCAGTCTGGAGTCCCCCTTAATCACAATGAGCATGCTGATATTTCCTACCACAATGACCATATAGATAAGCAAGAAGAGTAAAAATAACAGGATTTGCACTTCTGGCGATGTCTTGAATCCCAGCAGAATAAACTCAGTCGTCTCTGAGTAATTCCTAGTGAGTGCACTCCTCATAGCTGAGAAATATGGGGAAATTGATCTAGAAAGATTCGTGGATGAAGACCATAGAAAGCTTTGTCGGCCTTTGATTCCTGAAGTTCCCCGTAAAAGGTCACATGCTAATGAAGTTTCTTGGCAACGCATCCAACAGAATACCTTTACTCGAGGAGGGACCCAAATATATCATACCTTTTCACAGGTTACTGTCAAGATAACGTGAAACTGCGTGTTGAAAGCAATATTTAAACTTACTAGAAAATTTAAAGTTGTAAATGTCAGTCAAATAAGCAAACACGCACTTAAAATTACTGAGACTCAACGACTGGAAAATTGGGTGAAAACATGTCTCCTCCTTTTTCACAAGATGCAGGAAATTACTTGCGTGGCTCAAGTCATTCTGTGATATAACACATTGGAAAACATGGGCTTACTCTTTCACAAAGTAGAATACAGCATCAGTCTGAAGGAGAATCACCTGAAAAGGGAAGTTGAAGTCCTGTACTAACCTTACACTGTTTACTCCTTACCTCTTACTTCATCTATTACTATCCCGAAGTGCTGGTGTTTCCTCTCCCTGTTGGCAGCTGGACTCTAGAACGTCTTTTTTCTTTTAATGTAACATGTTAACAATTAAATATATGAATGATTATGTTTATACTGAAGCATTAGGGTTGAAGTACAAGATTAACTTCCCTAGCAGACAGTTCCAGTTACAGTATTGAAACAGAAGACCTATGCAAATAAATGAGGCAAAAAGCCTATATTGCATAGATTTTCCTTTTTAAAGAAACTATCAAGTTTAATATCAAGCATTGATAAGGCACAGAGGTATTAATGTTTAAGATATTTGAAAAATTAAATCCAAATGGAAAAAATTATAACTATGTAACTCCATGGCTGTATTTATGTTCTGAACTAACAAAAAAAAAGCCTTTCCCTGGAAGGAAGTCAATGTCATATTTTTACTTCAATTTTCACAAAATTAAAAGTACAATAGAATCAGAAAAAATGAAACTGATTTACTTCTGTTACTACTTCTTGTGAACTCAAAGTGTTTTATTAGTTAAAGAAATAGCATTTTGGTTCATACAAATAGGAGTTTGAATCCGTGTCTTGTCACTTACTGGCTAAGTTATCTTGGGCAAGTTGCTCAAATTCAGTGAGTCACTCTGCAGCAAAACAGTTTTTTGTACATCTACCCGGTAAAACTGCTGTTGTAAAGGTTGAATTAAATTGTGTATATTAGATAATAGAATATATTAATTCTAGATAGATATTGCTCAATAAATAATAGATACATGAGAGATTGAACAGAAAAAAAGAGGAATGTATACTAAAGTAAGAAAGCTATCTACATAAAAGTTATGATTTTTAAAAACCTTTTTTGAGAATCAGAAGAGTCCAAAAGAAATTTCATGGAAGAATTTTAATAGCTGATTTTACCTTTAAAGGAAACTTTGAGGAAAATGCAGTTACAAAAAAAAAAATGTTCCATAGTTTATGTTGGATTTATTCAAATATCTGATTAACTCAATAAGCAGTCCTACTTATTTCTAAATTATAGGTACCCCATTTTCACTTATTAAAACCAATAGTTCAAATGCTCAGAAATATCCTTTTTTATAATGCAAAGACGGAACAGAAAATTCCTCCAATATTATCTGTCATAAACATTAAGTCCTTTGACCTACACATACAATTATTCTTAAAGCCAAGAAGGTAAGTTAGAAACATACATATGTAGTATGTGTATATATGTGTATATACACACACATAAATATCATTTTATTAAATAAATAAAAGACCCTGGAGGTCAATTAGGTCAGTGTTTGCCAAACTTACCCATATTTCACAATCTCTTGGGAAGGTTTTGTTTTGCTTTGGTTTAATTCTCGTTCCTGGATCACACCTCATTCTTCATTAACCTGAATATTGAAAATTGTGCATTAATGAAATGAGTGTGGGCAGCATTCATTTACTTTTTAAGATTCTCACCTATAACATAGTTGATCCCTACAGGGCAGCTTGAATACCAGTGAATTTAGTTTTATTCCTTTTTTACTCTGTTCTGTCAATCAGTGATCGTTGGTTATAAAAATTCTTCTGAATCTGATATTCTTCTTTGTTCCAATTTTACAAATAGCATTGCAGGAATTTTTGCTCCTATAAAACACAACTATGTTATCTAATTTATTTCTTCATTTTCTAATGCTCACAGAAGCGAAAATGACATCACTGAAGCTGCTAAAGAGCCAGGCTCATCCCCAATTTCCAGCTACCCCTTTCTCTTCCATACAATCCAGCTTTATCTTGGGCTCTAAAACAGTCCACCTGCTGCATTTTAGACAGATGTTGTGCCCACAGTAAATTTTATCGAAACACACTGCATACTAGATTTTTTTTTAAAGATTTATTTATTTATTTGTGCATACAGAACTAGGCCAGAGGTGCAGGGGCTGAAAGGCTTCACCAGAGACAGAGTGGGGAGCAGAACAGACCAACTGATGAAGTACACTGCTGAGGGGGGCAGTGGGTGGGCCAGGGGAGGTCTGCCGCGCCCTGTGGGTCACCCTGGGTTGGGGGTCCAACTGGCGCTGAAGTGGTTTTAGCTTCTTAATGCTGCGCTCCAACCCTCTGCACCACCAGGGAGGGCCCCCTAGATTGTTTTTTAAATGAAGTAACCTTGGTAACATGGGGAAGGGTGGGCGTGGGTCGGGAGACCCCAGCTCCCACGCCACAAGGGCAGGCTCATCCTGCTGAGCTGAGCCGCCTGCAGCTTGATGCCAGGCTGGGCATCAGTCCTGGGAGTCTTAGGGGCACCTTGCCCAAACCTTCCTGGCACCAGGGGAGGGAGGCAGCAGCTTTTAGAGCTGTAGTGCTGGGGGCTTAGCCGCTGAGGTGGCAGCATGTGGGGGAAAGGAGAAAGATGGCGCAGAGGGAGGAGGGAGGGGCAGGGAGGGGGAAGCCCGTCTTGCCCCGTGGCCAGTCCAGTTTCAGTAACACAAAGTTAAAGATAAAAGCTGAAATGGTTTTCCCCTTAGGTCAGAAACATGACAACGAGTTAGAGAATCTGATGCTCTCTGTCTAGGTTTAGCTGAAGCCCGGAGTGCAGTCAGCATCACGAACAAGCTTACTGACAGTCAGGTGTCCTGCCTCAGACAGCAGCTGTCCAGTGGTATTTGATTTCACCGGAGGATGTGTAGTTGGGTCACAATGGTGCATTTGTTTGAAGTGGATGCAGACCCCTGTGAGTCGTGTTTGCACATCATGCCCACCGCCAAAGCCCCCAGAATCTCCCCCAAGCTCCACTGGGGCCCTTGATCTCCCTCTTGCACCCCCTGCTCGTCAGGGTGGCCTCAGCTGTTCAGCCCGCGTTCAGCCTGTGTTACCGGCTGGGCCTTGGCGGACCCCTGGTTTAGTTTCTCCATATTCCACACAGAAGTGAAACGCCCACTTTAATTTCTCCTCTTTCGTTTCTATTTGTTAGATTTTGCCCTCCCTTTATTTTTCAGTGAATCTTTCTTTTTTTTTTTAAAGATTTATTTTATTTGTACATACAGAACTGGGGTACAGGCCAGAGGCTCAGGGGCGGTGAGAGGGTTCACCAGAGAAAGAGTGGGGAGCAGAACAGGCAGATCTACGAGGTACACTGCTGAGGGGAGCAGTGGGCGGGTCAGGAGAGGTCTGTGCGCCATGGGGTCACCTCCAGGTCAGGCGGGAATCAAACTCATGCGGAAGTGGCTTTAGCTTCTCAGTTCAGTGCTTTAACCCGCTGCGCCACCAGGGAGAGCCCTGTTTTTCAGTGAGTCTTACCAGAGGTTTAGCTATTGTCTTGATTTTATTTGAAAAACCAGCTTTTGGTTTCATTGATTCTTTGGACCGCCATTTTGATTTCTCTTTCCCATATTACATTTTTTCTGTTCCTCATTCGCTGCATGTATATTAAGGGGTGTTTTATTTTCCTGGTGTGCTGACCCCTTAATAGCATCCATCTCTGTCTCTTGCTACCTTTTTAGCTGGAAGTCTATTTTATCTGATATAAATTTGACTGTTCCAGCTTTTTTCTAGGGACCATTTGCTTGTTGAGTTGTTTCTGACCTGTTTGTTTTGGCCTGTGTTTATCGTTGGAGCAAAGGTGAATCTCCTGGAGACATTTGTTGATCTTATTATACTCAAACAACAGACTACCTGAACAAAGACATTATGAAAATAGAATTTTTAGTCACCTCAAAAAATAGTGAGCTACTTAAGAGTAAGGGATATGAGAGGTCAAAAACATATGAAAATAAATCTTCATCCTCACTCCTAACTAAAGGGATACAGATTTAAACTACCATGAAATTGCACCTTATACTCATTAGGGCAAAACATATGAAAAAGTTACCTCAACAAGAAGCATGGAGAGGTGCAGAGAGGAATCACCCTATATTTCTGTTAGAGGAGCCATTATGGAAATAAAGCTGGATTTAAAACCTGAAAATAGAAATTCTGGATGACCTGGCAATCTCACCCTTGAGCATCTAACCACAGGACATGTAACCTTCAATAAAAATCCCATCTGTTCTAACACAACATTACTTACAGTGCATAGGATTGAAAGCAGCCTGAATCTCCTTCACTGGACAAATGAATAAAAAGGTGTGTATCATACATGCTAGGCAATATTATACAGCTACAGAAAGGATGGAATGCGGTCATTTTCAACAAAGTGAAGAGAATTTGAAAAAATTACTAGGCAGCAAAGCAAGTCAGGATGATGAAAGCAAATAGTGGACATTCGTCTAACAGACAATTTGACAACATAAGGTGCTTTGAAGATCTGCTGGACATCAACAAACATCCCGGGGGCCCTGAGTTTAAGAGAGACGAGGAAACACATTGGATAGGGGTAGTTGGAATTCATTATACATCTTACTTTTGTCATATGTCATTTTATATAAAGAACATATTTGATTCACTTCTTCAAACTTACAGTTTTTAAAAAATAAATCATCTTTAAAAATAATAAGTATCATCTTATTTATTAGCTAAGTATCTAACCAGTTATCCTAGAACTATCTCTTACTCATTTGTGAGATCACCTTCACTATATTATTTGAATATCCGGGAAAGAAAGAATGGGAAAGTCATCTTGTCATCTTCTATAGCCCCAGATTGAACCCTAGTCCTGGCTGAGATTGACTCAGTCAGGATAAAGAAACAAGTGAAATTTTTATTGTGTAGAAGATAAATAATATTTATCTGACTTCAAGTGCCCAAGTATGCATAACATATTGAAAGAGAAAAGGTCCATAACTGAAATTATATACAGAGGTTACACTGCTCTAAGCCAAAATATTGATTAAAATGGTTAAATAGAAACCTGGCATAATAGTTGCACAAATATTGAAAGGATAATGGGTCCAACTTCTTGTTGTGTCAGGGCCAGACCATTCTGAAATTGTTTTCCCAGGTTGTGGTATTGTCTTCTTCAAATAATCCACTTGCTCTAGAAGATAGGTTGCAATTTGCTTATCTCCCAATACCTCAGTTTCCTCAGAAAATGGTGATAAAAGTGAAAGGTGACATTAGTACCTGCTCTTTGTATATCACCTTTTATTATTATGAAACCTGAAATTAAGTAGAAAATGGGAAAATAAAAATAGTAGAATGTTATTGCTATGTATTTGTTAATAGTCGCATCTCAAATAATATACTGTGGGTCCCCTTTTTATAGGAATAGTAATTCTACAGATGATACTCAAAATTTAAACGGGGGTGGGGAAATAGGTCTTTTACTCAAAAGGGTTTTATATAACCATAACCATATTACTTTACCACCTACATAAAAGGACTTTAATTTCTTTCAAATATCAGTTTATTGCTTTATGATAAGAAAAAGTTAAAGAATAGATAACACACAGAACCGTTCTTAATATTTACTTCTTCAAGTAAATTTGAACTGAAAATATTAAATCATAAATCATAAATTGAGAACATGTGTTCCTATATTCTAAGCAAATAAAATAATGATGTCTTTCTTTTATTAGAAAATGATTTTGCAAAACAGAAAATTATTTGCTGTCGTACTTATAAACACCTTTAATGTAGAAACTTTACAAGACTGAAAATAACTAGGACCTTGAGGAGAAATAAATCTATTCATTATGTTTCATAAATGTCATTTTCTGCATAATATTCTTTTCACAGCATCTTTCACATCTTTGTTTCTCAGACTGTAGATGAGCGGGTTTAGCATTGGTATTACAAGTGTGTAGAATACTGCTACAATCTTGTCTTGCTCCGATGAAGCAATGGCACCTGGCTGGGCGTACATGAAGAACACAGTCCCATAGAATAAACTCACCACAGCTACATGTGACCCACAGGTGGAGAAAGCCTTACTGCGGCCGCCGGGGGACGGGATCTTCAGGACAGTAGAGAGGATGTAAGCATAGGAAACCAGAATGACAGTGGTGGTGCTGATGATGATGAGAGCCGAGAGGATGAACAGCACGATCTCATTCACAAAGGTGTCCACACACGAGATCTTGATCAGGGCTGGCACATCGCAGAAGAAGTGGTCTAATCTGTTCTCTCCACAGAATCGCAGACTGAAGGTGAAACCCGTTTGGACCATGGCGTTAATGCTTCCACACATGTAGGACCCAGTGACCAGCCGGACACAGACTTTCTGGGACATATGGACGGGGTAAAGGAGAGGCGAGCAAATGGCGGAGAAGCGGTCGTACGCCATGACAGCAAGAAGGAAGCCTTCAGTTGTGACAAAAAGGGCAAAGAAGAAAAATTGGGTTGCACAACCATTGTAAGAAATTTTCTTTTCCTTGGACAAGAAGTTGGCTAAAGTTTTGGGAGCGATGACTGTGGAGTAGCACAGATCTAAATAGGACAAGTTTCTAAGAAAAAAATACATAGGAGTGTGAAGTCTAGAGTCCATCTTGATGACAATTATCATGCTTATATTTCCCACCACAATGGCCATATAGATCAACAAGAATACTAGGAATAAAAGGATCTGTAGTTTTGGAGAAGTCCTGAACCCTAGAAGGATAAAGTCAGTGACGTCTGAGTATGTCCCATTAAGCTCAGTCTTCATAGCTGAGATATAGGTGGAACTGGAGAAATGGTAAAAATAAAAGAAATGAGTATCAAAACATTTGTTTTAGTGAAAATAACTAGGGCCAGTGCCTAAAAAAAAATTTGTTTTCTTATATCGTTCTGAATATTTTTTTAAGTACTAACACATAAAGAGAATAATACTATTATTTAAGTCTTCCTGGTGAATAGGTCAATCTGATTGGTTAAACTTGATGGTTCTACTTATTTGTAGATAATGGATATTTGCTCCATAAACATACTTTGGGGAGGTGAGATTATAAAAGAAAAGTTTTACATTGTTTTTGTTATTATTTATTATCAGTTTGCTGCCATTGGAAGTTGTCTCCTTTAGTGGAAGGAATTTCTCACAGCCATTATAGTTTAAGATTTTTACTTGGAGCGCATGTCCATTCAGTTGATGGCCACATTTGATTTTTTAATGGTTGCTCATATTTTAACAAAGATTTTAGATCCTGACAAAAGCCTCTCCCTGTTACCCATTTCTCTTATACCCTTATTTCATACCTTATTTTTGTCCTTTCGGTGACATATGCCCAGTGGCACAGATCATCTGCAGAAAAGCAGGAGTGATTCTTGCTCTATTTCCCAGACACAGTGAAGTCACATCTTCAGTGGTTCATCTTCCCGTCCTGTCTTCCTTCCTTCACTTTTTCCTATAGCCTCTTTCTCCACCCTTCCTTCCTTCTTCCCTGCCTCTCTCCTGTCCTTTCCTTCCTTCCAGGCTTCCCTTTATTAATCTCACTGGACAGTGCAGAATGAAATGCCGCTGATGCAGTCTAAGATCTTGGAGCAGAGGTTTTACCACCTTTTCAGAAATAGACAAATCTAATGAGAAACACAAAGATCTGAGCACATGAATGATGTACAGGGGGCAATTTACAGAGAAGTACAAATGGACACAGGATGAAATATACACTCAGACACACTTGCTTTCTATCAGTTTAGCTCTTTCTCGGTATGACCATAAATAAAGTACAGTGGAAAAAGAATTTTTATTCTAATTTTATGAATGGGAACATTAAGACAAGAACAGAGTTAAAGGCTTACTTTGATTCATGAAATTGAACAATGTCATGGTTTTCTATTCAATAATCTTTCATAAAATGTAACATAAAATTGACAAACTATAAATTCAAAAATGTATGGACTATAAAGATGGCTAATATGCTTTATAGTAAATATCTATATTATACAACTAATAATAAATGAGTCATAGTTGAAATATGTTATAAACTGTCTCATAACATCTATATTTTTTTCTAGTTTCATTAATTTTGACATTCTTTTAAAGTGGATTACAACTATGGAATTATATTAGAAACCATTTAAACCAGTTACAAGATCTACTATCTTTTGAAAATTAAATGTTCACAGAAATGTTGACCGATTGACTTTGAAAGTCAGAGTGTTGAGTATAAACAAGATGAGATAGTCTCAAGGATGACTGCAGTTAATCTTAGTAAAACTTTTATTATACTCAAAATCGATTATTCAAGGAGAAATAAAAATGGGAAAACAAGCAAACCTTTGTTTAACAGGAAGCATTTCTAGAACAAGGTTTACATTTCTTCACTGTTTAGCTCATGACACAAATTTGCTAAAATGGACAGGTATTAGCAAAAATTGTAGCTTACCTCTCTCCTTCTTTATTTTTAGTTTACCTTTAATTGATTAAACCAGCAAATAGACATGAGCTAGGTCCTGAGAGACATTCTCTCAAGGGGACGGAAGCCAATGAGTGGGCAATCCCTCTGCGAGATATTCATGGGGGACTAAGGGCTCTCACCAGCGATGCATTTTGTATGGTAACACAAGAAGAAAATAGGAGAAGAAACTTGCAGACATTTAGGGCATTAGAGGGGCCCTCTAGAGGACATGAAAACTAACTTTCTACTTACTGGGGAAAAAAAAACAAAAAACACATTTGGATGAGAAGTACTTGATTCTTCCTTAATTTTCACGATTTACAGAGGCATACCCACAGTTTTTCATTTAAGTGGATTACAACCCTTTTTGAGACTCATTGCTGATCTCCAACCTGTTCTGCTCCCCACTCTGTCTCTGGTGAACCCTCTCACCCCTCATACTTCTGGCCTGTACCCCGGTTCGTGTATGCATAAATAATTTTTTTTGAAAAGGAAAATTAATCGAGAATAGCAGAATTTTCTTTAAATGTGTGGGGAGAATGCAATAACAGAGATTACCATGATTTCAAGGCATAAAACAAGATGGTGGTTTAAAAAATTCCAGAAGCTTGGAATCTCTTCAAGGATGAGAATCACTTAGAGTTTTTCCACTAAGTGCAGGAACTAAAAACAAGCATCTAAGAAATGTATTAAAAGAGAAAGAAATCTCTCTGCATGTATCCTCAGTTCTGTTAGTGTGAAAACAGCCATGGATGGCAGGTAAACGAATGAATGCAGATGGCTTTGGTACAGGTTATAGTTGCATGAACCTACGCTACAATACGAAAAGATTCCTTAACTTGCATAGTTGTTCTCACATGTTATCAACGTGCCTGTCACTCCCACGCTAGACACACAATGCTTCATCACCCTCACCAAGGCTCCCCCAAGGCTCCGGGGCCAACATCCTGTCGCCCGTTTCCACCTACTCCTTCTCTCTCCCCCTCCCCCAATTCCACAGCAGGTAAAATCACCCCTTTCTCTTGTTGAGCTATTTCAGTGAGCATAAACCTTCCAGGCCCATCCACACGACTGCAAACGTCATGCCCTCTCCCATCTCGCGTGGACTTCCCACTGCCAGTTCACCCATGTGCCATCACCAGAGTCCCGTGTACCTTTCCCACCCCGTTTTTGATACAGAGACTCATTAACTTGGATGGCTGGCTCCCTGCCCAGCTGCGAAGCTGGTCTCCGACTCCCCAGCTCACTGAGTGTGTAGCTGTCCTCTGCCCGTGGTTCCCCCTAGCTTACATTATCCAAAGCGGTTTTTAATATTTTATAAACAAACTTAGCAAGTCAATTGCTTAACTCAGCTAAGCAAATGAAAAAGGGATGCTTACAGTTACAATATAGATGGTGATGAAATCATATTAATGGTTTTATTGGAAGTATTGGCAAAGAACAAAGAAAACAGACTTTCGATTCCAGGACCACATTTGGAATAGTACAAAAAGAAACCACTTTTGTCATGTGAGACAAAATATTGATGTAGTCTTTGATTAAGCACATGTTCTAAGCTAACATGTATAAAATTATGAGAAAATTCTATTTTATTGAGCCCACTGATCTAACTACAAGGGTATTCTATCCTGCCATGCTCTATCCCTGCCTGTTCTGACCATTTCTAGCCTCTGCAAGGATTTCATCACAATGCATGATCATTGGCATCTTTCAAAATTGATGGACTATATCAGCATAGTCTCATATTATGGACACAAGCAGCCACCACTAAGTTCTACGTCTTTTACAGTATCTTCTGTATCTTCCCATCCACACTACAATTTTACCCCTTTGGACACAAATAAAAGAGATACCATAGAAACAAATCCTTGACACTTCTCTTCTGCAACTCTTCTGTTCATTTTATCGTGTTTGGAGATTTTAAATACTTGCAATTTGCACTTGAAAGAACATCCTGAAGCAACAAAATAGTATTTGAAAAATGCAAATAGTTGCATTAAATACAATACCAATACCAATCACCTATAATTTAAATATCACATACAAAGCAAGTACAATTTTTTATATAGAGATAGTAATTTTCTAAGAAAACCAAGTAACCTTGTACAAACTTACAGAGGATTTGGAACATCTAATACCATATTTGTCCCTTTGAGATAGGATACCAGCACTAAAGACTTTTCCTTTACGGATTTGGATACCCATTTTTTAAGAAACTGAATACATAATATCTTTCTCCATTTCCCTGATAGGATAATAAAGCAATAATAGCAGTAACCATAGATACCACTAAGATATGATTAAATAGCCATGATTTTCGAGTTGTTCTGATTAACTCAAGATGGCACAACAAAAAACAATTTTTATACCATGATTTTTATTCACAAATTATCGGCCCATAATCAAGACACTGAATAGATTTTATAAAAAAACAAACCCTAAATATGGGCCCTCCCTGGTGGCGCAGCGGGTTAAAGCACAGCACTGAGAAGCTAAAGTCACTTCCGCATGAGTTCGATCCCCGCCTGCCCCAGAGATGACCCACATGGTGTGGCAGACGTCCCCTGATCCGCCTGCTGCTCCCCTCAGCAGTGTACTTTGTCAATCTGCCTGTTCTGCTCCCTGCTCTGTCTCTGGTGAATCCTCTCACTTCCTGCATCTCTGGCCTATACCCCGGTTCTGTATGCACAAATAAAATCTTAAAAAAAAGAACACTAAATATTACAAATCAGTAACCATACTCCTTAGGTTGATGCTTTCTCTAACCATCAGAAATTGCATATTCTAAACTTGATATGCTTTTGGAACAATTTTTGTGACCAAAGTAAAAATAAAATTCTCCTTTCCCTCAGTATCTTAAAGTACTTACAAGGAGTGAGGAGTGTGTCTCCTTACAGAGTGGCTACCTATTTGATTCACGTCCAAGGTCTAACACTGCTCTTAAGGAAGAGTGAATAACATCTTGGCATTGCTCCTTCAATGAAAATAATGCACCATGGGATGCTCAAAGTGACCCAATTTGACTTCATATTAAAAACAAATCAGAATGAATCAACCAATGGGCGCATTAATAGGGAAATCACAGCAAGTAGAATTAGGATAAAGTTCTTTTTTTCCATAGAATTCTTCTCAAAGCTTGTTTGACATCCTTGTTTCTTAGAGAATAAATAAGAGGGTTTAGCATGGGTGTGACCAATATGTAAAATACTGAAGCCACTTTACGAAGCTCGGGGTTGCTTGGAGGTGTGAGATACACAAAGGAGACTGTCCCGTAGAGCACACTCACAACCCCCAGGTGAGAGCCGCAGGTGGAGAAGGCTTTCTTCCTCCCCTCACTGGAAGGCATCCTCAAGACTGTGGACACAATATAGATGTAAGAGACTATAATAACAACGACGGTGGGCAAAATAATAATGGCAGCCAAAGTCAGAGACACTATCTTGTTGACAGAGAGGTCGGAACAGGAGATCTTCTCAATTTGGTAAGAATCACAATAGAAGTGGTCAATGACCCGGGATGCACAGAAAGACACTGAGAATGTCATGCTGATTTGGAGGGCAGAACTGACCCCGCCACAGAAGTAGGAGCCAATAACTAGATGAGTGCAAAGGCGTCTGGACATGTGGACGCTATAAAGGAGAGGGCTGCAAATGGCCATGAAGCGGTCATAGGCCATGGCTGCCAGAACGAACCCCTCGGTTACAATGAAGAGGGCAAAAAGGAAGCACTGGGCCACGCAGCCTGCAAAGGTGATAGCCTTTTTCTCAGACAGGAAGATGACCATGGCTTTAGGTGCAATGACGGTGGAGTAGAAGAGGTCAATGAAGGAGAGATTGCCTAGAAAGAAATACATCGGTGTGTTCAGCTGTGAGTCCATCACAATGATCACCATCAAGCTAACGTTCCCCAGAAGGGCCATGCTGTAGATGACCAGGAATAGGAGGAAGAAGAAAATGTGGGCCTCTGGGTGGCCCCTGAAGCCTACCAGAATGAAGTCAGTTACATCTGAGTGGTTGTCTCCTCCCTTCTCACGCATGGCAACACCTGTCAAGAGGGACAAGACAAGATTCAAGCTCAACTTTCTACCGATTCCAGGTCTCCTCAAGTAGCCTTTCCTGCTCTCTCCTCTCTGCCATTCAGCCATCTCAGGCGTGACTGCTGCGCCCCTCAGCGGGGCAGGTGAGGTATGTGGTCCTTGCGCCATCACGCAACATGCCGGTAGCCTACTCGTGGTCTCCTGCTGTTGTTCTCCAAACCCAGTGCTCTTCCCACTATAATAATGTCCCTCTCACGGACGACAGTGAAATTAATAGAAGTTACTGTTTAAGTAGTTTATAGAGCTTAAAATAAGCTACCGTGAAATTTAGTCCACACTCCTAAGTTAAAAACCTTGAAAAATGGGCCCGCCCTGGTGGCTCAGTGGGTTAAAGCGCCACATTATGAAGCTCTCCGAAGCCACTGCAGCCCGAGTTCAATCCCCAGCCAGGGAGCTGACCCACAAGGCACAGCAGACCTCTTCTGACCTGCCCGCTGCTACCTTCAATCTGCCTGTTCTGCTCCCCGCTCTGTCTCTGGTGAATCCTCTGGCCTGTACTCCAGTTCTGTATGCATAAATAAGTAAATCTTAAAAAAAAAAAAAAAACTTGAAAAATGAATGAATCTTCAGCTTCTTGAAATGGACAGAGCTGACTTCAAGAGGAGAATCCATGGGCCCTGCTCATTTCTGTACAAATCCAGCAAGAAGCCCATTGGACCTTAAATATCTGTGCAAATGAAAAAAGGGAAAACTTCAAAACGATGGGTTGACTAAAAGGGTTGGGTTCAGAAAGAAACCCATCTGTCTCAGCAACTAATTTTGCATGTCTGCATTCAGGGGGAGATCCACAAATGTATTAACATTTTCAAAAGGATAACTCTGAACCTGGCCCACAGTTAGGAAGTCTGATTTGTTCATCCTGTAACCTTGAAGACTTTCTATTTTTCCAAGAAAGTAGCACAGCCATCTCTTTCTTTTATTCAGACTTTAAAAGTAATTGGCATGTAAGCCCCCCACCCCCCACCCCCCAAAAAAGGGGAGCGATTAGGTGGCTTATCAGAAGCAGCACATGATTTAAAAAGAGCTCATTTTTCCTTGTGTCTATGGCAGGGAATTTTGTTCTCAGCAATCATCCTCGTACGTTCCACCATTTTGTTTCTTTATCCACCGTCTCCACATGCCCAACATTATCGCTCTCATCTTCATATCCCCTAATCTTTCTTCTCTCTACCCAATACTAATTTCTCCATAAAAGTTAATTTAGCTCACCTACAGAGAAAGCTGGCAACATCCTATTAATCTGATTCTCACATCTCTTCTTTACCCCACTGTTCCCAGCACAAATTGAAACCCACTTACACGACAGGAATTAAATTGATTTTTCTGAAAGAGCAGCAGATGTCCACATTAACTTCTGTAAGGACACTTGTTCTAAAATATTATGGTGAAGCTGGGGCTAAAAGAATGAAGACAGGAGAGGAATTTCCACTTTCAGTCATGAGATGTAAGTGGGGAATGGAACAGGAAAGCTTTTACAGATTTTTGGTGAAAAATAAGAAGTCCCCATGAAAGCAACCAATGTCATAACACAAAACTGGGTACTTGATAATATTTTAGTGGGAGACTTTCCTTGTATTATTTATTGTGTGTGTGTGTTTAATAAAGTCACATCGTGTTGTCTAAAATTATATCAGCCAATTTGCAACAACAATTATTTTGAGATAACTATTATTTTCCAAGAATAATAGTCAATATTATGGGTCACTAACTAAGTGCCAGTCTGAATAAGGGAATACACAGTCTTAGAAAGGAGTTTTCTCCCAAACTACATTTAATGCATCTTCTCCCCCCTCCCCCACTTTCAATTATTAGGAAATAGTAATATTCTGTAATTTGCCCTGTAGGAAAAGGGGCTTTTTAAAAACTATACATACTATATTTTAAAATAATGTATAAACAATACATTTGCACAATCATTTTTATGCACTAGACACACAGAAATACTCAATTATTTGATTTAAATAAAATCAAATTTATCATCTTACCTGAATATTTCTTTATTTCTGTTATGTGATTTTCAATGGTTGATGCAAAGATACAAAGGTTGTGTTTAATTCTAGGAAAACAGTTAAAGATTGTCAAACAATATAAAGAAAATTCAAGACAATGTCAAAATTAAAATATTTTCATAATGCAAATGTTATACAAGCTATAAAAATCCGGACTGGAAAAATGTAGCTGTATTTTATTTTAGGTGCTGCTGCTCATTGATAGATAAAACCCCATTCTTCATTGAAAAATGTCATTTTTAATTTCCTTTCGGTGTTTTTTGCCTGAAAATCCCCTGTTACATGCGCTTCTCTCTAAAGTGGATGGCAGGCGGAACTATCGGGACATCTCCCAACCGAGGAACGTTTCCTCACAGAAACTGAAGAAGTAAGTGTGACAGAACCTGTGGTGTCACACTGCCCAGGCATCACTCTCCCGCATGGTGGCCTGTCTTAAAATCCTTAGAATGAGAAGGAGGAAAGCAAAATGGAAACTTAAGTAGGGCAAGGTAACGTCCCCAGGGATGGCGCCAGCCCTGGAGGCCCTGCAGGAACGCACCAGGAGGACACCGATGCCCTTAGTTAGCTCTATTGCAACCATTTCAGATCATTACAGCAGGAGAGAGGCCACGAGAAAGGCAATTACGGGAAGAGATGAGCAAACTCCAGGTCCATCCCACGGGAGCCGCACGGAGAAGCAATGGAGAAGAACGTAGCTGTTCCCGTTACTCAAACTTGAGTCATCCCTGCATCTTTCTTGGGCATGAGTTTTTATTCAGAAAACTTGGCTTAAGGTTCAGATGATGTATTTGTCATCATCTCCATTCTTCCACTTAACTTCTGCCGTCGAGAGTGAATTTGTCCATCGATTGGTTTCTGTGAAGCTCAGAGTCCCGCAGCCGCCATCTTTATTCACCCTCCCGCCAATTTTTTTCACCCTCCCGCCATCTTTACTCACCCTCTGCCTCCTGGCATCCTGCACAATGCAAGATGAGCTCTGCTTTTCACAGTCTACCAAACACGTTACAGACCATTTGATCAGTGTATCCATAATTAAAATTAATAAATAAACACTCACTAAAAAGCAAGTCTATTTGAATTACAAGTGACAAGTATCGGGTCAGGGCCATGTTACCTCACGTAGACTCAACACTATGGTTGTGACTCCACCCACCGCTTTCAAGGGTTGAGATTCCAAAACATGACCTTTCACTGAAATCCCAGGATTAAAGTAATGAGCCAGGGGGAAATAAGCACTCAGAGCTGTGGCTATCATTGGATCCACACGCTGAGTATCAGTCATAGAAAACTAGCTTGTAATGCACAAAGTCAGATGCTTAGCGGAACATTTCTTTAGCATGCTTATCCGCTGGCTGTTGCAAAAATAACTCTAGAGAAGACACAAAACCTCAGGACAGCCCGAGGCGCTGGCCGCTCAGCAGTCTTCCTTGGCCGCCTGGGGCAGGGCGGCCTCCCCGCACCTCAGAGGCCACTGGCCCTTCTCGGCGAGTTTCCTCTTGCAAGCCCACAAGTTCGTCCAGTGACGGTTAAGAGGGTGAAGTGAGCGTTAGCACCCTGGTCACGGCAAGTGAGGGGGCTGAATCCCGGAGTAGGGTGGAGCAGCTGTGCCTGAGCTGGACACTGCAGCGGGCAGGGCAGAGGGAGGTGGAAGAACTTTCTTTGAAGATCTTTGGGCCCTTTGACCTATAAATCTCAATCTGGCTGCTGCTTTAGGCGTCCCGCTCTGCTGTGCTTTCGTTTTCTGTCATTTCAAAGTGCTTTCTGATTTTCCTTAGGGCTTTCTCTTGTGTTTCACCAGCCTCCATGGTTGTTTCGTCAGTCAGTCCACAGACATTCACATTGTGCACGATGCTTTTCCAAACAGAAAATTCTGAAAAGTCAAGCTGGTGGGATTCTTTTCTGAACATCTACTCCAGAGACTTTCCAGCTTAAAACTGGGAGGCAAACTTTCCCTAACTCCGTAGCAAGCACTGAAAAGGTCAAAGCTCTTAAGCTGTTACATCTCACTCATCTACAGTTTAGTATCATGTACACTACACACCCAAATTCCTACTCTCACAGAGCATAAAGGTATGAGGAAAATTGGAGGGCCAGACCAAAGATGTTACCAGCACACAAAATGCTGAGAGCTAGGCCCAGATCAAGCAGTGGTTTTCTTTAGAAAGCAATCCTACCAAAAAATGACTCGGAAGGCCTCCCCGATCCGCAGGGGTGAAAATCTCAGCACTAGGAAGCAACTGCAGCCATTACAGCCTGCGTTTGATCCCCACCAGGGAGGGACCCCCAGGGCGCAGCAGACCTCTCCTGACCTGCCCGCTGCTCGCCTCAGCAGTGGACTTCGTCCATCTGCCTGTCCTGCTCCCCGCTCTGTCTCTGGTGACTCCTGTCACTGCTCTCCCCATGCACCTCTGACCTGTACCCCAGTTCTTGTATGAATAAATAAAAATAAATCTTTTTTAAAAATGACGCAGGGACAAAAGTGATTTGAAATGTTCAAGACATGATGCCCGACTGTGCCTCCAAGACTGGGCAGTTACACTATTTGAGCAAACAGTCCTCGCAGTCACATCCCAGTGCAGGGGAAGGCACGTGGACCCTTCAAATTCCATCTCAAGTTTTGTCTTTTTTGATATGCTTTCCTCATCTTGTATCACGCGCAGTGAGCTTATCTCAGGTGTCCTCGCTGATTTCATCAGTCTCTCCACTCAGCCCTTCAATACTGTCATGCACTCTGGGTTTATCTTTTCACAGGATAGTACTACCAGGATGACACTATCTTTTTTTGCATCAAAAACTCATAGAAGTCAAGCACTTTGACTTCCCCAGAAAGTCTGGCAAAAAAAAAAAAAAAAGTACATAAAACTGTGTGCTAAATTTGCTTATAAATAATGAAATTGTGATAAATACTAGAAATAAAATTCCGACTTCTAT